CGGTTTGAACATATTTCTAGCACTACTGAGCTTATTTTTTCCAGCCACTGGTTCAAGTTTGCATTTTCTAGCTGTTCTTCCCAGTTTATTTCTGTGAAGTCCTGGTTTATTTGCTCACAGTTTATTTGTTTATTATTGAAGTTGAATTTGCTGAAATCTCCTCCACCGGGAATCTGGACTGGTTTTGAAGGTCTACTCCCCATGTGTTACGGACCCAAGTCCAGCGTCCGAGCACGAAGCAGTGACGACAACGCCATCTGTGAGTCTGCTCCCGAAACCCCCTCCAAATGGACAGCGCCATCTAGTGAGGACGGGATATACCGGCCACAGGTGCTGGATTCCCGTCCTGATCAGCTCATAACATAGCTGCTGCTGACCTCTCGTGAGGTAGCGCTTAGACAGCAACGCCATCTATGGAGTGGATAGGTGGACGTTTGTGTCTAAGCCTGTAAGTGAGGCTCACTAGCCCCGGTACTAATGACGTGTTTGATTACAGAGTCGACCTGGGACTGCTGTATTGGACGATGAGGCAGTCTACCCAAGGCAGCCAAAGTCTCTCCACGTGTTTGCTGAAGAAGCTGTGAGTCATCCCCGGACGAACACTGCTGAGAGTGTTAGCCTGCCTGTGACGTGGCAGTATCAGGGATCGCCCTATCCGGGGCTGGCTGGTGGAGGAGACTAGCCACTGTGGTGCTGAGAGAGGAGAGTGATCAGCGGAATCACACGAGGCTCCTGCCTAGGGCTCGCAACCCTAGTATCAGTCGTGGAGTTGCCTACACAGCAGAACTGATCGGAACCTGCCAGCTACAGGCTGGATTTGTGGTTGAAGGCCTCCACGACGGAGCACCCAGTGGGACTGTGATTTGGCTGGCCTGTGGCCAGGGTAGATTCGCCTAGAGAAGCCAAGAGGATTCAGCGTGGGCCACGAAGAAAGGAACCAGGGCTACTCATCGTGAGCACCGTGGAGCATCCTGTGTCTTCAGAGGAAGACGATTCTGTACATTGTGTATTTATACCCCCCGTGTGACTGTTTATGTATTTATTTATGGTGGTGGTGATTATATATATAAAGCAGTGCATTTGCATCCCTTCCCCTTTAATTTAACTTGCGTTACGGAACAAACCCCTTGAAAGCCAATACTAACTTGGGGCCGGATTCCCGAATTCTAATAACACCAGAAAAGAACCCGGTTGTGACCCAGTAGGGCCGTAACACCATGGTTGTCATAACTTCAATTAAGGGGGCATATTACGGGTTTCGTAAAAATTGTTCAATTTGTTTATAAATTTAATTATGAAATGGTTATAGAAAGAGCTGCAACTGGTCCAAGTTTCAGCATCACACCCTAAACAGAAAAGGAGGAAAAAAATACACAACGTATTATGCAACGAATTTTCAACATTTTCAAATAATTTCAGGGAACACATGTGTCAACTAAAATCTTTTCTATAACACTCAGATATTAAACTAACACATAATAATAGATTGTATTGATCAGTTTTATCAAAGAAAGTGTTTAGTGCAATAATATAATTTTTCAAAGTTACCCTTCCAAAAATATGCAATATATGATGTTTATAAATTTTTATAAAATCAACAAATGGACTTTGGACTAAAATGTCTCAATAGGTGTGTAGAAGCACAAACTCTACATACAAGGTGTAATTTGCATGTAAATTGATTAATAAATGAAAGCTGAGAAACGCCTTGAAGTTGTAAATTACTTTCCAGAGTAAAATAAAGATCCAAGTTCGGCCACCTGTAGCTGAGCTTGACTTCGACAGATTTCATTCATAATTGGCACCCTTGCAGAGAGGCATCCATTGAGCAAGGTGTGCAAGTTTCATGCAAATCCCTTGATAACAAATGAGAAATAAAATTGGCCAAAAAAAAAGAAAAAAAAAGAAAAAAAAAATTACATATAAATATATTGCACATACATATTACAATTATTACAAGAGTTTGTGCTTCTACAGCACATAGTAGACATTTTAGTTGACACATGTGTTTCCTGAGATTATTGAGAATGTTGAACATTCGTTGCATAATACGTTGTGTATTTTTTTTCTCCTTTTCTGTTTAGGGTGTGATGGTGAAACTTGGACCAGTTGCAGCCCTTTCTATAACCATTTCATAAAAAAATTTATAAGCAAATTGAACAACTTTTAATTCAGTGTGATAAGCCCCTTAAGTTGTAATCTGAGTAACAGGTATTTGTAATCATTATGTTCCTGATCAATTCATCATTATTAGTGAAAATGAGATCCAGCGTGTTCTCCTTCCTAGTTGGTTCTACTATTTGCTGGTTTAAGGCAAACCTGTCGCACATCCGTAGCAGGTCATTTGCATGTGCTTGTTCATTTAGGCTACTTCCTGGTATTCTTTCTGATATTACTGTATTAGCCAGGTGCTTCCATTTCAGGTGCCGTAGGTTGAAGACCCCAGGCAGGATGATGTTCGGAGCTGGATTTGTGAGGTTTTCCAAGCAGTGTTCTATTTTCATTAGTTGGTCTTTAAACTGCTGAGGGTTTGCCTCCGGTGACTTACATACAAGGACAATAACTACATTTAGAATCTCTATTTTGATTATCAGCACTTCCACCATATCATATGAGGTGTTTAGCAGCTCAGTACAGATGAGTGTGTCTTTGATGTAGAGGCTGACCCCACCCTGAAGCCGGTGTTTCCTATCACATCTGAAAAGATTGTACTCTGTGATCCATATTTCACCATCATGGTAGTCCTTTGTGTGGGTTTCTGTTAGGGCTGCAAACACTGCATTTGCCTCATGAAGGAGACCATCTATAAAGTGAACTTTGTTGGATTTGCGTGTTTTTTATACCCTGGATGTTGGCATATATAAATGTTATCGTGTTAGTGGTTGTGCTGGAAGCCTTACTTGGTGTTAATATCTGAGGCTCTGGTAAGGAGGCCACTGTGTTTGCGTCCAGGGTGTGTTGTTTTGGAAGTGTTTCGTCCAGTTTTGGTAGTAGGACGGGTGTTGTCTGGTGTAGTACCTGTGTGCTTGTTGATAATTTGTATTCCAGTTTTGTGGGTATCTCCGTTCCCCTCTGTAATCCTGTAGTGGTTCCATCTGACTGTTCCTCTCTCTTATATTTACTACTCTGTTTCTGGCTACCTCTAAAAAATTTCCAGTAGTGTCATATTGATCTTTCGTCTATAACGCTGTGTACCTCTCACGTGGAATTCTGGACACTGAAGATTGTAGTATTTTTCGTCCCTAATTGAAAATTGATATAATTTAGGGTGGAAGTATCTACACCCTGTTCCAAAACGGCATGTACCCCTCTCCAACATGTGCCTGCATTTTCGAGGATGCAGAAAATGGCATTTTGCTCCTAATTTTCCATATTTGCCTATTCCTTTAGCGTAGAATTTGCAAATGTGTTCCGGTTTTGCGTTTTTCAAGGTATATATATCTGTGACTGTCTTGTCTACCTCTTTATTGGAGCCATCTCCGTTTTTCGTCCCAATTCCTTCATTTATTAGTCTTGATCACTAGGGAACTAATGTCAAAAAATCAGTGCATATATGTACCGATTTAGGAAAAATGATACTGTATTTATTTCTAGAACCATTTGCAACATGATTTCTAACGTTATTCTTTACTTATCTTGCTTGTTTTAAATAGTTTTCATTATGCACCTAAGTTTTGGGCTCCTTAAGATAGGACATAAATTCACTTAAATGTGAACAGAGATGGATGATAAAGTAAGTGGATGATGTCCCAGTAAGTGGACAAAACTCTAATAAAGATTAGAAAGACTCACAGTCTCCGTGGTGTAGTGGTAAGACACTCGCCTGGCGTTCCGCGAGCGATATGGGTTCGTATCCTGGCCGGGGATGATTTACTGGGCGCAATTCCTTAACTGTAGCCTCTGTTTAATGCAACAGTAAAATGTGTACTTGGATGAAAAAACGATTCTTCGCGGCAGGGGATCGTATTCCAGGGACCTGCCCGAAACGCTACGCGTACTAGTGGCTGTACAAGAATGTAACAACTCTTGTATATATCTCAAAAAAAAAAAAAAAATTACGTTCTCGTGAAAGCCGGAAGGTTTGCCAGGAAGTTTATAAATGAAAGTGGTAATAACAAAGAAATATTAATAAGGTTTCAAATATATCAACACAAAATAACTCGAGACAAAGGATTGAAATGCATAAATATTTATAGATGCCGGAAATACTTGGTTTGAAAACTGGGTTCATGATTTATGAAACAAATTTCGGAAAAGTTAATAGACCTTGGATAACAATATTTACAACAATATCAATAATAATTAACACATTTTACATATTGAAACAACAAATGTAATAGAAATTGTAATATAGCAAAATTAAATATTATATTTAAAAATCTTTTGCGTTTATTATTATTATAATTATTCTTGAATATGATAACTGAAATATTAATTTAATTGATTATTATACTTGTAAGTTATATGAAAAATAATATAGCTTGGAAATATTTTGAGATAGTTGAATTATTTATGTATTAAGAAGCAAAAACATTACTTTATACTATACTTTATTATGAAATTTTAATGAATAATTTATATGAACAGAATATCATGGTAAAATTGTAGTGGAAACTTCACTAGTTATAAATACGATAACTGAACAAATCCACAAGGGCCGTGATGAGTGTTCGAACCTATGGCCGGGGTGATCCCAGACGCACCTTAGTCGACTGTGCCACGACATAGTAAAAAAAATTGCAACCTGGATTGCTACTGCCCTCACAAGGCTCCTGCTGGCATTTGAGAATTTGTTCATTTTGTGCATCACACTTTTGTGATATATGTGTGTAATATGATAACTACTGTACTTAGAAATATACCGTTCAGGTGCCTTTCTAAACTAAGATTTCCTCTATATTTGCAATAATTATTGCAAATATTTTTGCCTTTGAATATCTATGATAATAATTATAATAAATGCTTTGTAAATAATTTAAACATATTTCTGTTCAATTTTGGTTGCAATTTTTTATAGAAGTTTGTTGATAAGATTATCAATGTAGTGACGAATTGGATGCATTACTAATTCTTAAAGAAAATTTCCTAAGCCCATGTAATTAGTCGAGCACATTATTTTACAATATGCGATGAATTCCTTAGCAAGGAAGAGTTGTATTCCATTCATCAACGTGGGATTCACCAGTAGTTGTGTGTGTGGTGTTGAGCTTAACACCTATGAACCTAAGGATTATTATTAAGGCAACAACAACAGCTTACTGACCAACCAGAAACCATACTTTAGTCATGATCATAAACCAGGAATAAAGTTAACTCTCAGTGAGTGTGTATACACACCGAGAAGCAGGTCATCTCTCGGTATATACTCCCTGCGTGTCTAGGAATATATTTGGTAGTGTCAGTAGAGTAGTGTCACAGTTATAATATCCATCCAGGGCAGGAGAGGCCTTCAGCTCAACACACACTACTCCACAACGGAGTTTCATTCTAGTGACGGTGACATATTTCTGCATAAATCATTAGTTAAATATTTGTTCAGGAGGAGCTCCAGACCAAACACGAGGAGAGTGATGACGTACCCACCAGCCAGAACCAAGAACATTCCCTGCAAAGAAAATCAGTTTCGAATATAATTTTAAAAGTATTTATATGACATTAATATACATATCAATATTTCGTTGACTATGACTGTATACTATGTGTTGATTATATTCAAGATTAGGGTTTCTATCCCTCTTACTAGTGCTCTTCAATCTTGGTTTAACTGCAATAGCATTTCCAGCATATATCATACTTGTTCAAGGTTGATATTTGGAGACATAATCTTCCAATTAAACCAAGATGGAAGAACACTAGTCAGAGGGATAGAAGCCCTAAACAAGAAAATAACCAGCCAAAATAAGAAACACTAAAAAACAATACAAATAATCTTTATAATCTGCGTACATTTCTCCTGCTACCATGCAAAACAATTCTAAGCTCGGTAAGGCCGCAAAGAAAGATAGCACACCTATTAGGATGAACCCAACCAGCCAAGCTAGCAACAGGAATAATGCGGCTGTCTCTCCCTTAGTGGCTGCCGGGGAGGGGGGGGGGGGAACAGACCCTCCCTTCGACAACAATAACAAACCTTCCCAGCTGAGTGGAGCGTCGTCACCGACTCGAGCCTTGCAACAGTTATGTAACAATATGGATCAACTTGAACGAGCTGCCTCCCCATGTTCCGACTTTAAGCGTTTCGCTGATAATCCATGGCTCAAATTATTGACTCAGATACATGATGACTAAAAGTCTATAATCCGAGAGCAGTCGGACCTGATAATGAAGCTACAGAGTGATGTTTTGGCCATGCACAAGATTAACCAAGATCTGTCTGCCAGAGTCGGCCACCTCGAACAGGAATTAAGCTCTCTTCAGATCTCGGTTACTAACTTTAAACCAGCAGAAACCTCTAAGAAGCAAGAAGAGATGTTACAAAAGTTAGAGAACCATTTTAACTCCCTTCAACAGCAACACACTGCACCTAAGACGAATCAGACCAACTTAAGCTCCTTGATTCTTTCATCATCTCATCACATGATTTTCCCCATGAAACAGACAGAGAAGACTGTACTGCCATCGTGATACAGAAATTGCGTACTAAGTTGAATTATTCAATCGAAGCAAGTGACATCAAGTCAGCTTATAGAGTGGGTACGAAATCATCTGGTACAAATAACAGAAAAATTCGTGTGAAATTAGATAGCTGCTCCCGCAAGTCAGACCTTATCACTGCTGCAGTCGCTAAGAAATCCAATGTTTATGTGAACGAATGTCTAACCAGATTCAGACAAAATCTCTTATTTAAACTATATGGAATCTGCAAAAGATCCACTGCTATTAAACATTGTTTAATAACAATGTTTAAAATATGGTACTTTAAAATACCATATTTTACCGATGGTAAAATAATAGCTAGGAAGACTGACTCTGGAAAAACTTATGTCATAACCACTGATGCACACCTCACTTCTTTCCTGGATGACTGTGGGATATCAGCTGAATAACCAGAACATAATTTGTAGTCTCACATACAACCAAAGTGTACTTAAGCTTTGTCTTTTCTTTCCAAAGGTTTTTTATTTTTATTTTTATTTTTTGTTGTCATCTTTGTTGTTTGACAGTGCTTGTTTTTTACCCTTATTTATTTGGTCTTAATTAATCCCCTTATCACTAAACCTAGGACTCTTTATTGCCCTGTTATATTTAAAGTAACTTGAAATTAGTTTCTTAGTAATCATTTATTGGAATTAATTAATAGTATAATTGTCTATATAAGCATCGACCTCAGTATCATAGTAAAATCTTCCACATGAATATACTCTCACCCTGTTTATTTTTACACTTAGATTTATATTAGAGTAAATTTCTAGATTTACTTAGATTTATATGTCATTTTTTGGAATTATCTGTTTGAGCTCACTTTGTTTTCTTAGGTTCATACTAATTATGGGATTTTAATTAACCATTACTAAGCTAATTATCTTTAAGATCATTTTACTTTATAATTATTATTTTTCTTATTATTTTTTATTTTACATTTATATTGTCAATCTTTACTGATTTTTTGTTTTTTCTTTTATCTAACTTCATTGTCCTTACTGGCTATCTATTGGATCTTTATTTTACTCCTAATTTGTTAGTATTTTATGTGTATTTGCTTTTATTCTTGTGTTTTGCTATATCGTGTACCTTGTATCGTGATCCCTCTGCATTTCCATGTACACTGATATTGATCCTGATCAAAATCTTCTGTCTCATATCTACACCAACCAGCATATTGATCATCATTATTGCAAGTATTTCACAACACACATGGCAAAAAACAAACTCCAAAATAGCACCTGCTTATCAGTTTAAAACCAAAATGTTAGATCACTTGGTAAACATTTTGACGATATAAATGCATTACTCACAGCACTAGGTACTACCTTATCGTTCATTATTTTAACAGAAACTTGGCTAAATAAAGACTATACCCAACTCTACAACTTAGCTGGTTATAAAGCCATTCACAACTGTAGGCCTAATAAAAAAGGTGGTAGCACAGCTATATATTACCGAGATACATTTATCTGCAACAGTGTCATTAGTGACAGAGATGACTACTGCGAATATACTTTTGCTCAGTTTACAATGAAATCCCTTAAATCCTCCTTGACTATTGGAGCCATCTATAGATTTCCCAATACTAACATTGCTACTTTCTCAGATAACCTAAGGAATCTTATTATAAACAACAATCTCAACAAAAACCACATCATTCTTAGAGGAGACTTCAATATTGACCTGGGTCAACAAAATTGCCTTTTGGCAATTTTGGACCTTTCTCATAGCGAACATGGACATAACACCACCAAAAAGCAAGAAACTCTCATTTAGGTTACACAGTGAATCAGCTTTAGGCAATCTTACAAATGCACTTCACAATATTAACTGGGATTCTGAATTCAATAATACCCAGGATATAAATTCATTAGCTAACCTCTTCCTCTCCAAAACTCTAAGCCTCTACAACCTTCATTGTCCCCTTCTTACCAAGCAAGTAACTGACAAAAGATTAAACAATCCATGGCTCACAAGTGGCATTCTTAACTCAATCAACAAGTAACATGAATATGAAAAGAAACTTAGGATTGGCCTAGTTTCAAAGGAAGTAGCTAAAAGGTACTCATCAATGCTTACCAGTATCATAAGAAAGGCAAAACTTTCATATTATGTGAATAGATGAAAAGCACATGGAAAACAATCTCTAGTATCCTAGGAGCTAAACAACACTCACGTAACCAAATAAAACTTTATAAGGATGGGTAACCTCTTGCCAGTAAAATCCCACAGTCTCAGACACATATTAACACATATCTCTCAGGCAGCTATCCAAATTCTCTTCTCCTTTCACCAATCAGCCCGGCAGATGTTGTGTCCCTCATACACTCTCTAAAAACCAAGGCAGGGAACACCAGTGAAATTCCGTCCATTGTATACAAGAGCGCCTCCCATGCCCTTGCCCCACCCATGGCTCTACTGTTCAACAAATCTATAGAGTGTCACACCTTTCCTGATATCCTTGAAAAAACAAGAGGAACGCCAGTCCATAAAGGAGGCAATCCGGCGGATATAAACAATTATAGACCAATATCAAACCTACCCATTCTATAAAAAATACTTGAAAAAATTATCTACAAACAGCTCTATTCCTACCTCGTAAAATTCGACATACTCAGCCCCTGCCAGTTTGGCTTCCGGTCCCAAAAGAGCACCAATGATGCAATCATTAGTCTCCTTGACGTAATCTACTCAGCCCTTGACAAAAATGAGTTTCCGATTTGACTCTTCATTGACCTAAAAAAAGCCTTTGATACTTTTAATCACAACTACCTCTTACTTAAGCTCCAGCATTATGGAATCCGTGGCCTTGCCCTTGACTACATCCGATCCTATCTTAGTGACAGACACCAATGTGTAACCATCAATGATACAACTTCTTCCACTCTACCAATTACCGTTGGAGTGCCACAGGGCAGCATCTTAGGACCTCTTCTATTTCCTATATATATCAATGATCTGCCTAATGTCTCTAATATTCTTAAACCTATATTGTTTGCTGATGATACTACCCTTATCTATTCAGATCCCAACCCACATACACTAAATAATGTTGTGAATAATGAATTAAAAAAGTCCCATTATGGATGTCAACTAACAAACTAACATTAAACATAGAAAAGACCTACTACATCTTATTTGGAAGCAAATCATCGAATGCAATTCAGCTACAGATAGACAACATTACCATCAGTAATAAAAATGATATCAAGTTTCCTGGCCTATTCCTAGACAAGAGACTCAACTTCAGCACCCACATTCCACACATAACTAAGAAAGTCTCTAAAACCGTTGGTATACTCTCTAAAATAAGATATTGTTCCTAACTCTGCTCTCCTCTCACTATATTATGTACTAATCTACCCCTATCTTAATTATGGTATCTGTGCATGGGGGTCTACCACTGCAAACCACCTTAAGCCCATTATTACCCAGCAAAAATCTGCTATCAGAATAATGACAAACTCTGCTTTCAGACAACATTCAGCTCCCTTGTTTAAATCCCTAAACTTGCTAAATATTAACTCCCCCCACACATTCTCTTGTGTCAACTACATTTACAAAACTCTGTTCTTAAAAGCAAACCATGCTCTGAAACTCTCCCTGGACAGATGTAATAGGACCCATTATCACCACACCAGAAATAAATATCTCTTTGATATCCCCAGAGTCAAATTTAATCTGTGTAAATACTCTATGCAAATTAAGGGACCTAGTCTATGGAACTCACTCCCTAGTGAATTGAAAAGCTGTCAAACTTTTGCCTCATTTAAAAACAAAAACAAAAAGTACCTAATTTCATCTTCGTAGTTTCCAACACTGAGCTTTAAATTTGCTCTGTATCTAGTGTTACCCAATATCCCAATCTTTATGTACTTAACTCAAACAAGTTTATAATTGTGTTCATTACTGTCTTCTTTTATGTGCTAGCCATATGCTGTATTGTACCTACTAATTTTTGTTAAACTACCATTCAAGCTGTCATTGCAATCAATCTGAGCTACCTACGTGCTTAATATACCTACAATTTTCTCTCATCTTTTTTTTTTCTTGCTTTGTAACTGTTTCATTTTTTTTAAATTTTGCAAGTATTTACCTACTTAAAATTTTCTTAGATTAAGGACCTGCCCGAAACGCTACGCGTATTAGTGGCTTTACAAGATTGTAATTACTATACTATGTATCCTCACAATCCCAATGTACCTTCTTGTATATATATAAATAAATAAATAAATAAATAAATAAACGAATAAATAAATAAATAAATATAAATAAAATAATAAATGTTCCTTTGTTCAAAATCGCTAATCTCCGAAAGTTCTTCACCGAGTGCTTTTAAATTTTTACACAACGTTCCATTTGCATCTGAGCGGAGTTTTGTATATATACTATATAGATGTCACGTCTGTGACGCAGAAAAACATGCTTTTTTTGAAAACTGTGTTTTTCAGATGTTTTTCATGTGAGAGAAATCTTCAAAACCTTTTCACCGATTGCTTTGAAATTTTAACACAACGTTGCATTCGAATAGGCGCATGTTTTTAAATAGCTACTATATACATGCCTCACCTGTTACAGGAATTTTTTTTTTAAACAGCGCCATCTGTTGGATGTAAGAGCAAATACACGCTGTAATCTCCGAAAGTTCTTCATTGATTGCTTTGAAATTTTGACACAACGTTGTATTCGAATAGGTGCGTGTTTTAATATCCCTACTATATTGATGCTACACCTGTGACAGATACAAACGTGCTTTTTTTTAAACAGTGCCATCTGTTGCACGTAATATCAACACAGGCTATACTAAATATGTTACGATTTCCTTTCACTGTTTCCAATTGCATTGATAAATTGAATTTTTAAAGATTTCAATTTATTTAAATTTTGATATATTTATTTTGTGTGGCATTGCATTGGAATTGAGCTGTGGTGTTTACCATACCGTTCATTTCATATGTATAAGTATAGATACCACACTTGTGACAGGTAGAAACATTTTTTTTTTAAGAAACAGCGCCATCTGTTGCACATGAGAGCAATACACGTTATACTAAATATGTTATAATTCTGTTTCAATGTTTCAGCATTTCCAGTTGTGTTTGTCCAGTGAAGTTTGCTAAAATTAGAGACATCCATAACACATACATAGACCTAGATGCTATTAATATTTCATACCACACATACTTGATTTCCTTTCTATTGAAATTTGATAGGCCATATATAATTCCAATTATTAGATGATTTTTATTTTCATTAAATTTTAAACAACCACCTTTTGTTTGATACCCCCAATTTTTGACATCACATTTAAAATTTTCCTAAACATATATTGCTACTCCCCTTCCTTTTCTGACCTATGTGAAATAATTTGTATGCCTTAATGTGGTATTTAATCAATAGTTCCATATTTTCTACATTCATCCACGTTTCGGTTAGTACAATAATATATGTTTTTGCGCACACACAAACACTTATGTCTATTATATAATCGTCTATTTTGATTCCATGATCCATGCTATTTGGTTAATATAACTTTAGGGTATTTTGTTGATTGTCCTCCTCTGTTATTTTTATCCAAATGTTTTTCATTTATGCCTCACTTTCTTTTTCATAGAAAGGGACCCAAGTTATCGAAGAATTATATTGCATTGGCATTGCAATATTTGTTTAGTCGATAATTGACTCCAACTGTCGTAAATAGCCTTCATTTCCAACCCTTCTTCTTGAAAGAATGTCACATATGATCTAAACACCTCTTTTAAGTCAAACTGACTCGTTGGTTGTTTTACAGTCGCGACTCCCAGAGAATCAGAGAAACAGAGAATCATCACACTAACGTTACTGCATGAATGAGAAAATCCACAGAAGCCATGATCAGGGGTTGGAACCTATGGGGTGGGTGTTCCCAGACAGTGTAATCCCACTGGGATGGGTATTCACATGTTAGTGGGATTACTCTCTGTGTAGTGAAAGAGGTGGAACATTCCTGGAAGACAGAGCCAGAAGGCAAGGAGGGATTATGTGAAAATTTTGATCCGCCTTCAGTAGAAGCCTCAGGAAATCCTTGTGTTCGGTAGAACTCCAGGTTGCAGTCCTTATCATGCCGTGGTCTAGACGTTGGGGCATGTGCGTGGGAACACCTGCCACATAAATTCGAACCCTCATCACGGCTCTAACGGTTTTTCTCATCTTCCATAATGTTATGATATCCCTACTTCCTCCGCCTTGATAGTAAACCCCTCAATCTATTGTTTCTATCTATAGCACGCAATGTCCAGTACAAATACCTCAATTGTTAATCACAACAGCCAAAACTCTCTAACTTACTTTCTCATTTTGTTTGGTTGGCCTGCCAGGGAAGTGTCATACCCTTGCCTGACACTTCCTCCAGTGATGCTACGAAAGATAACGACCGATATCTTCACTCGCAAATTCAAGATATTATTCCTAACTACTTCCTACCAGCAAGAATTCTTCAGGGTCAAGCTCGTGTTATCCATCCCTCGCGCCACATGCCATCTACGCACCCCGTTGGAGTTGAGGTTGTTCTTAACATAACAACCTCTGCCATTAACGAATGCCACATCTCCATCAACTCGTAACGCACAACACTCGTCACATCAAGCACAAAACAGATATATCTTTAGGTCACGAGTTCAAACGAGTTCACAATCTGAATATGGCAGCCTGTGACCTAATGATTGGCTGTGACCTTTTTTGGTGCGTGTAAAACATAGTAACAAAGTACTCATGTTGTTACCGAGAGGTTAGTGAGGGAGAGAGTAGCGGTGACGGTGGTGGTGGTGGGCATGTGGACGCAGGAGGTGGAGTTGGGCACCATGTCCTTCATCCAGAAGTCGTAGAGGCCGGCCTCCGCCACCGCCCTGATCCTGTAGGCCGAGTGGTCAATAGCATCACCAGGGAGTTATTGGTATCAGGGCTAATGGTGATTGTGGAAGTGGTGATAACTGTAGAAATGGTTGTCTTAGTATATTGTTGGTGGGTGTTGTTGCTGAGATGAAAGGACTGGCCTTGGTGATGGATGTAGCTGTAGTGATGAACGAGATAGTAGTGATGGTGATATTGATGATAGTCGTGCTAGAAGTGACTGTGGTAGATTGCTAGTGGTGACTGGTAATCGTGCTAAAGGTGACTGGAAGTCGTGCTAGAGATGTCTGTGGTAGTCGTGTTAGAGGTGACTGGTAGTCGTGCTAGTGGTGACTGGTAGTCGTGCTAGAGGTGACTGGTAGTCGTGCTTGAGGTGACTGTGGTAGTCGTGCTAGAGGTGACTGGTAGTCGTCTAGAGGTGACTGTGGTAATCGTGTTAGAGTTCACTGTGGCAGTCGTGCTAGATATGACTGTGGTAGTCGTGCTAGAGGTGACTGTGGTAGTCATGTTAGAGGTGACTGTGGTAGTCGTGCTAGAGTTGACTGTGTTAGTCGTGCTAGAAGTGACAGTGGTAGTCGTGCTAGAGTTGACTGTGATAGTCGTGCTAGAAGTGACAGTGGTAGTCGTGCTAGAGTTGACTGTGGTAGTCGTGCTAGAAGTGACAGTGGTAGTCGTGCTAGAGTTGACTGTGGTAGTCGTGCTAGAAGTAACAGTGGTAGTCGTGCTAGAATTGACTGTGGTAGTCGTGCTAGAAGTGACAGTGGTAGTCGTGCTAGAGTTGACTGTGGTAGTCGTGCTAGAGGTGACTGTGGTAATCGTGTTAGAGGTGACTGTGGTAGTCGTGCTAGTGGTGACTGTGGTATTCGTGCTAGAGTTGACTGTGGTAGTCGTGCTAGAGGTGACTGTGGTAGTCGTGCTAGTGGTGACTGTGGTAGTCGTGCTAGAGTTGACTGTGGTAGTCGTGCTAGAGTTGACTGTGGTAGTCGTGCTAGAGGTGACTGTGGGATTCGTGCTAGAAGTGACAGTGGTAGTCGTGCTAGAAGTGACTGTGGTAGTCGTGCTAGAATTGTCTGTGGTATTCGTGCTAGAAGTGACAGTGGTATTCGTTCTAGAGGTGACTGGTAGTCGTGCTAGAGGTGACTGTGGTCGTGGGGCTATTTTATTATTATTATTATTATTTTCTACCACAGACGTGGCCACACATTTACAGTGCTAACTAGCATATATATATTTTCTTCTGTCCTCCATGGACAGGGTTAGAGATGTGTTAAACATATAGTTCAGGGGTTTATTGAACAATCAACTATAAAAGGTGATTCGGTGCTTTTTAAATGCTAAGCTAACTTATATACATAAATACATAGATACACAGATTTCACGTATGACCTACATAAAGTGTTCGACGTGTCTTTTACATAGTGTCATTAATGAGCATTTACAAAGGTGAAATGTAATTCTGATCAGCTTCCATATATACTTTATACACATACATATTCATACACACACACATATACGTACATATACATATATACATACATATATACACACACACATGCATTCACAAACATTTGTCTCTTTTACTTTGACAGGGTGAGATAGCTGATAGAGAGACTAGTGTGCAATTAAGCATTTAATCACTGAAGGTGATTAAGGTGCTTTTACAAGCTCAGGTTATATAGTTACATCACATAGCTAGAGGTGACAGTGGTAGTCGTGCTAGAGGTGACAGTGGTAGTCGTGCTAGAGTTGACTGTGGTAGTCGGGCTAGAGGTGACAGGACGTCTTGCTAGCGGTGACTGGTGTCATGGTAGTCGTGCTGGAGGTGACTGGCAGTTGTGCAAGAGGTGACTGTGGTAGTCGTGCTAGAGGTGACTGTGGTAGTCTTGCTAGAGGTGACTGTGGTAGTCGTGCTAGAGGTGACTGGTAGTTTTGCTAGAGGTGACTGTGGTAGTCGTGCTAGAGGTGACTGTGGTAGTCGTGCTAGAGGTGACTGGTAGACGTGCTGGAGGTGACTGTGGTTGTGCTAGTGGTGACTGGTAGTCGTGCTAGTGGTGACTGGTAGTCGTGCTAGAGGTGACTGGTAGTCGAAGAAACGGTGACAGTGGTAGTTGTGTTAGAGGTGACAGGTAGTCGTGCTGGAGGTGACTGTGGTTGTCGTGTTAGAGGTGACAGTGGTAGTCGTGCTAGAGGTGACTGGTAGTCGTGGAAAAGGTGACAGTGGTATTCGTGCTAGAGGTGACTGGTAGTCGTGCTGGAGGTGACTGTGGTAGTCGTGCTAGAGGTGACTGTGGTTGTCGTGTTAGAGGTGACAGTGGTTGTCGTGATAGAGGTGACGGTGTAGTCGTGCCAGAGGTGACTGGCAGTCGTGTTAGAGGTGTCTGGTAGTCGTGCTAGAGGTGACTGGCAGTCGTGCTAGAAGTTACTGTGGGTGTCGTGCTAGAGGTGACTGGTAGTCGTGCTGGAGGTGACTCGTAGTCGTGCTAGAGGCAACTGGTAGTTGTGCTAGAGGTGACTGTGGTAGTCGTGCTAGAGGTGACTGGTAGTCGTGCTAGAGGTGACTGTGGTTGTCGTGCTAGAGGTGACAGTGGCAGTGGTGCTTGAGTTGACTTGTTGTCGTGGAAGAGGTGACTGTGGTATTCGTGCTAGTGTGACTACTAGTCGTGATAGAGATGACTGGTAGTCGTGATAGAGGTGACTGCTAGTCGTGATAGAGGTGACTGCTAGTCGTGCTAGAGGTAATTGCGGGAGTAATGCTAGATTTTTTTTCGCAGGGATATTCCTGCGTGGGCCCTAAGCCTCTGGCTGGCCAACTAAGAGTTGCTTGTTTCTGTTTTACTTGGGCGGAGTATGAGTATTTATGACTCGTATGGTCACTTCAGTAAGATTTTGAAATATGTATTTAACAACTTCTTCTGCTCAGTTCAGTCTAAATAAAATCTTAATGGGTTTGTAACTGCACTGTGTTAGATAATGTTCCAGTGGTCTGTCTGGCATTTCTCCACAGTGCTGACATTTCCTCTCATCTTCCGAAACCTGTAAGCCTATTTCCCATGCACATGGGTATCCAAGCCTGATGCGATGTAAGTGTACTTCTGTTACTCTACTGCTCCCTTTCATCAACATAAGTGGTTCGTAGTTGGTTGAATTCTTGTACCAACTCGCAGATCCTGATGTTGTATCTGCTGTGTTGTGGTCACTGTACATCTTTTGCATTGCTCGATTTCTAATTACTTTCTTAATCTGTGATAGACTCTGTGGTATGTAAATGTCTACATTTCCTCTCTTAGTTGCAAGTTTTGCAGCTTCGTCTGCAATGTCATTTCCTATTATTCCCACATGACTTGGCACCCAGTTGATAAGTACCCGTCGACCTTGTCGTTTGAGTGTTTGCATTAATGATATGACATTTGTGATCAGATGCATGTTATCACAAATGTGTTCTTGTTGCAAGGTTTCAATGGCGGTTCTTGAATCTGTTTGTATGATAACATTTTATCGGTGTTCAACAAGAGCATGTTCCAAAGCTTTTTGAATGGCTAGCATCTCTGTAAAGTCGAACACCCATTTGAGAGCCTCCAACTATTTACAGAGTTTCCTGCTTTAACTGCAGCTCCGGTTTCTTGTCCCTGCTGGTCTACTGATCCATCTGTGAAGTAAGTGAAGCTGTCGGATGCCATGTTTGCTTCTATATGCATCTGTGCAATGTTACGTAGCAGATGAGGATTTGTCGGGTTATTTTTTCCTTCAATAACCATAATCTTAAAGTCTGCTGGAGGAGATTCCCAAGGGACTTGCATAACAAAGTCTGCATGTATTTCGTCGACACCCTTCTCGGTGACTATGTTTGTTACATCGAAAGTATTGATGGTGTTTATCGCACAATGGGTCCACCTGTTGCTATTGGAGGCTCTTCTGTCCCGAGTTAGTGCTCCAGTGATTATATCTTTAAGTGAACTGATTCTAGGTCTAGTAAATATCTTGCTCAGCATGCACGCAGCACTCCCTTTTACCCTTATTTCAATCGACGTTAGCTTGGTTTCTAGTCTTAGGTTCAGTATTTTAGTCCATCTGGGAGCTCCTGTTATGATTCACAATGCATTGTTTTGAATATCCTCAACGTTTGCCCACTGACCAGGAGAAAGAGTGGGTAAGGCAGGCGCTGCATAATCAACTAGGGAACGAACGGTGTGTATGTAAAACATTCTTAACACTTTGTGTTCCTCTCCTAGACGGGGGAATGTGATTCTCTCATTATATTCAGTCGTGATTTTGCTTTCTCCTTTAGATATTAAATTTGCTTGTTGAATGTCATTTTAAAATATATCCACACTCCGAGATATTGATATCTGTGTAACCCACTGAAGGTCTTGAATGCGTAGGTGTCTGTCAGGAGTGTTGCCGCCTAGTCTCATTGCCTTAGACTTCTGTGCAGATAATTTTAGCCCTAAAACGCTGCATTCAGATGTTACTTTATCTAATGCACCTTGTGCTTTATTTAGAAGTGAAGGACCTGTAATGACTAATGCTATCATCTGCTTAGCTTAGCAATTTAACCCCTTATGTAAATATCATAGTAACAAGGTTTTATAAAAGGAAGTTAAAAAGACTAAGCCGGAGGACTCCTCCTTGTGGAGTTCCATTCTCATGCAAGTGGTAGTCCGACACATGTCCTTGCAACTTTACTCTGGCATACCTGTGACTTGTCCTAGAAGTGACTGTGGTAGTCGTGCTAGAGGTGACTGCTAGTCGTGGTAGAGTTGACTGGTAGTCGTGCAAGTGGTGACTGTGGTTGTCGTGCTAGATGTGACTGAAAGTCGTGCTTGAGGTGACTGTGGTAGTCGTGCTAGAGGTGACAGGTAGTCGTGCAAAAGGTGACTGGTAGTCATGTAAGACGTGACTGGTAGTCGTGCTAGAGGTGACTGTGGTAGTCGTGCTAGAGGTGACTGTGGTAGTCGTGCTAGAGGTGACTGTGGTAGTCGTACTAGAGGTGACTGGGAGTCAT